CTGAACTGTCTTGGTCCGAACTAGTTCATCGCGGACCACTTAACATCCCTACCACTTAACTAGGCTACAGGGGTTTTGGCTATGCCCTGAGCCCCTACGATTAACGATCAATAAACTTAACATTAATAATACAGTGATATACTGTATCTAAATGTATAAGTTTTGTATGTTTTGATATTACATTATGGCTGTATTATAAGGTTCAGATAAGGGATGGTAAAGAATCGCTTTTAATGATTTTTATGATTTTTAACTTGATTTAATAAAAATGTTTTAAAGAGCATAGACTACTAGTATAAATACATATCGTCAATTATCGAAACACTGCCCTCAAAAACCAATGGGTGATAATATACAGCAGAGACAGTGCCCGATCCAAAGTGAATCCCTCTCGCCTGTGATGAATCAAAATTAAATTATTTATGTGTAACATTAACGGTCTCTGCTGCTGCGATAATATATGAGTGCTGCCAAGGGAAAACCTATCATCGGACTTTCAATGTTCAGTTTGTTTTCTAAGTGCTGTCTAGAACTCATATAGAGGCCTGCCGTTTTGTGGACCGGGCCTAACAACCAACCCTCACAATTAACAAGATATGTAGAGATGTTGTCCTGCTTAAAGCGCTTAACAAGATTACTCATTATTATTACTATGTTTACTTTTAATATATGGGAGAAAGGGTATAATGACGAAGCTAAATATTTTGACCGTATTACATGATGCATTTATCGTTATTGAAATCAAAGGATTTTGGTAGTCGAACCGAGTCGAATGATACCAAAATCATTCGATTCTGATCACTGGATCACAAAAAATATTTCGATTTGAATTTTATTTTTTAAAAGAAAAAAAAGAAACTTTTAACCTTGAAAGGTATTATGGAATTGGACGAAATTTGCGACATTCGATTTCTCTCAAGGAGAGGGATCGATTCGTCATAATAGCTTTTTATATATGATTTCTATAAATTTTAATATAAAAATGTGACTTCGTGGTCCAAATTAAGAGGTTTTATACCATCGGATTTTCCTCAATGAGAGGAATCTAATGGTATAAGAGTCATGAGATATTCATATTTTTATGTTTAAATTATATTATACCGAATCACGGGATCATGAGATATCCCGATTCGCCTACTTGGTTTTATTTCACCGGCAAAATAATTCCGGTCATTGTTTAGAATTATTTGTCGATGAATTGAAGTGACAAAGACCCATTACGACTTTGGTGAAATGGTATTTAAGAAAAAATGGACTTCGAGAAGTTAACCCAGTCAGTAATTTAGCTCAATACAGCAATATATGATGTAGATATTACCATTTTAATATTTAGAAACTCGGTTTATGAAACCAGTTTGCTTAAAACTGCTTGGAAGCAATTATTTGTTTTTTTTTGCTACTAATCAAACTTGTTACGTATTTAATATCTTTTTAAATAGTTATAAAAATTTAATCTAATCTATTCTAACAAGTTATTTAAACCCTATTTTATGTTATATGAAGCAGGATAACATCCCTAAAGATATTGGGGTCTAAAAAAAAATTTTTTTTGAATACGTAGTACCATTCTGGGTACTAATTACGGGAAGGATACTATAATAGGAGAGTACTTTAAAAAAAAAATTTATATCTTGAAGAATTGGATTGATAAAAATAAAAAAAAAACTGATTTTTTGACCTGTCCTCTTTGTTATGAGAGATCCCAATATAAAGGCTGGTACGTATTATGAGCAACTAGTGTATTATATAAAATTGCTGGATCTTGACTATTGAAATTGGAACGTTATTTATGTAGTGCTGGCAATTTTGCTATACGTACCAGCAATTTGAATTGGAATTTGACTTATAAGTTCCAATAAGTCCAAAATTCCCAAGAATGTTCAATTGCTAAACACCTCAATGGTATCAGGTTGGGGCTATCAAGATTCTGTGTAAAGTACAAAGTAAACTCAACAGCTGGTTCTATGATTGCAGTTCCTAAAAAGTAATGTCTATACATAGATTTGAGAATCAATTTACAGGTTTTTCTTTGCGTAGCGGTCAAAACCTTCATTATCGTTATAGTTATTTTATTTGTGACTGTTGTTTGATTCCTTAGCCTCAAGGCTTTTTTTTACTCACGCCATGAGCTCAACACTCAAAAGTGTTGTGATTGAAGCGAATTGGCCAACCAGAAGATCAGATCGTCGAGGCCAGTAAAAAACATGTCAGCTCTAAACTAGTTTGATCTACAAATTATTTGGACATTTTCATAAAGTTAATGAATTTACAGTTATCGTTATGGCACACAAGATTCGATAACAGCTACATACGTAGCAAGAACGATTTATGAAAAATATTTTTAACTACTATAGCCTACACGACAAAAATGGTAACCTACGCTGTTTATTTACATTTTCCCGTTTTATTGTTATCTATTATTATACGTATATATCTATATATATAATATCTATAATTGTAACAATAAATAAAAAGGCTACACAGTTATTCCCAGATCAGAACGGCAACAACGTCGACACGATTTAAGAATGACTTATACGAAGGCTCGGCTCGCAAGAGCCTATGTGCTAGAGTGAATATGTTTTCATTAAGATTGTCTAACATTCAATGTTGAAATGCACTAACCGATTTGTAAACTTGAAGTTGGTTTCTTTGTGTGGCTTCAATATGTATATTCTTCGCAGTGGATACATTAGAACCGTTTCACCAGAATTTTTCCTTGGACGATAAGACTATACAATATCCATTCGCTGAGCATGAAAGAGTGCCAATGTGGCTTGCTGCTGTAAGTAAGATGCGTCAACTTGCCTAAAAGCAAAATGGCTAATATTGTTTTATTTTTTTAGATAATCGATATTGTTATTCCATATATCATAATAGCAGTTTGCTCTTTGATGCAAAAGAATTTACATGACTGGCATCATGCTTCGTTAGGTTTAATTTTATGTCTCACGCTAACACTGGCAGTGACCGATTTCTTTAAGGTAATATTTATCTTTAAACTAATTAGCTTAAATATCCGCCATTAAATTCATACAATATCTTAGACTTTCGTCGGACGTCCTCGACCAGATTTCATTAACAGGTGTGATCCATTACCTGGGTCTGTCGATGCCAAGCCATTCGGACTTAGCAATTCGAGTATTTGTCAACAACCTGATCAAGGTATTATGAAAGATGGTTTCAAAAGCTTTATATCTGGTCATTCTTCAAGTGAGTTGTAATTTATAAATACATGGATGTTGTCTTTCACGATAAGTACTTATTTACAATGTTTATCATTTAATTAGTTTCATTTGCTGGATTGGGATTTTTAACATTTTATTTGGCTGGGTTAGTGAGTTATATCTGCCTAGAGTCTTACTACACCATACTGATTTTATTCTTTGTTATATTCTCTAGCAAATTGCATGTATTCGATAGAAAAGGACATGCATATAAAAGTTTTGCCGTATTTATTCCATTAGGTGTTGCAGCATACATCGCAGTAACACGAATTGAAGATTGCCGTCATCACTGGCAAGACGTTGTAACCGGTGGATTGATTGGTACGTTAATTCATTACACCTTTTTATATTTTGACAATTCATTTTTATGATCAATGGCTTCAACCATTTGTTATGCATTTAGGTTTTTTTTTGGCGCTCTTTGCATATCATCAGTATTATCCTCCTTTATATTCGTACAATGCCGGTGCACCTTTGCCAGTTCGATTAAGGTCCTATGCTCCAGAACACAGAGCAGAGTTCACTTTTAATGATGGAGCAACTTTCGAAGTCCATGTTGTTCGAAATGATGGTTCTTCTGTTTTACAAGACATAAAGACATTGCAAAGTGCCATCAACAATGATGATAATGAAGTAACTCATCAAATTGTTTAATATACCGTGTAGGACTGCTTATAATAATATGTTTTTTTTATGATTAAGACCCGCGTATTATTCACCATACCTATTGATCTAAATCTTGAATAATACCTAGAGAGTGTGTGTAATTATATTAGTTTATTACTTTTCATATAATTTATATTCAAATATGCACAAAGTACTTTCCAGATATAAATCAATTTAAAAAATGATGGTTTTGAATAAGATCCTGTTATTATAAGCAGTGCAAACGATAGTTTACACAATTTGATCATTATCTTTTTAGGCGTGTTCTTTATATGTATATAATAACCACCCTATTTACTGTATTAATAAAAATATTGTACAATTTAAACTATACAAAATAAATTAAAATAATTAATTTAAACGGTTCTGGAACCCTCGAGTTTTTGGTTTTGTGTAATACATAAAAATCATAAAATTAGATCGATATAAAATTGGTTTTATTCAATCACACCAACGCTCAACGCCATGTATGTTTTTATAGTAATTATTACCATTCAAATTTAAGATTGGAGTTAGAAATGTTTTATTTTTGAGACATCGGGCATTTCTGTTTAAAGCTGAGTATTAATTACTTTGTAACAGTTAGTTAATTTATCGGTTAAATAAACGACGTATGTATCTGAATTTTTATATATAATTTATAAAAAAGCTTGTTTTTTAATTTGGTTAGATGAATATAAAAAGTTGATTTAAAACTTTGAAACTTATTCTTTGGTATATATTTAAGAGGTAAATCCAGTTAAGGGATATGAAAGCAGTAAAGTTTCATAGTAAAAATTGTTGGAAGCAATTAAGGTTTCCTATAATGTTAGAATACAGCTAATTTACCATGAAACCCTTTTTTTAGCTAGGTAAATGTCTCTTTGATTTCTAACAGTTGTCGTTGTAGAGAATTAAAATCTAAAGATTTTAACCGATTTCCATCACCGATTAAAATCGATTGGATTTTTATCGATTAGAATTGATATATATAGAAATAAATCATTGCTATTAATTATAATCAGAGTTGGCATTGACCAGTCAATGGTCAACCTTGACCAGACCAATTTGACCAATTTGACCGGTCTGATCAAAAAAATTTTTTTTAATATTAAAGGTGAGTACTTGCGACCTAGGTTTTTATTAATAGTATGTTTTAGCTTTGTGATTGTATTACAACAGCTACAGGAGGCAATCATAGGAAGAGTGTACAACTAACCACTTGTACAATTTTAGTCATTGTTTAGTTTAAGTAGTTCACTCAAAGGTTTTACATTAGGTGTCATATCTAGAACTTGCTTGTGAGTTCTTTA